TTTGGTTCTCACGTTCTTTTGGTGAAAGACTAAATAAGACATGGCTTTATTTTATTAGCTTAAAGCATCCTTTTTATTCAATGAATCTTTCCAATAGCAAAACAAATGTATCTCAACATTATTCCCAAAGTTTGAGGAGCTTTGTCTTATTTAAGGAGCTACAATTGCCTCTGTAATAATATCAATCACCAGTCCTTCCACCAGCTGAAAGGGGCATCTCCCCATGGCATCCTTCACCTTCCACCAGCTGAAAGGGGCATCTCCCCATGGCCCTCTCCAAGCCCTGCCATATTCTTCTCTGGAGTGAAAATCTCACTAATTTTCCAATACTTACACTTTCCTTGACCTTTAGTGAAGGTGTGTGTGCAGACATTTGCAGGAGACAGTAATTGCCTGACCCAGGCAGTCTGATGTCAGGCAAAATTAGGCAAGACCATGGCCTTGGTGGGCAGGAGCCAGTATCTCACTAATTACTGATTACCTGGGCTGCAGATGCAGCCTGGGCTGGGGTTATTCTGGCTGCAGCACTGCACGGTGCCTGGCCCTGCACTGATCCCTTGGGAATCCTGCTGGAGGGGGAGTGAGCTGGAGGTGGGATGATCTCCAGATTTGAGGTGTAGGTCCTTGAGCACAGCTTTGGCATCAAGGGCTGCACAGCTCTGGCTGAGATGGGGCTGGGCACACGTGTGGAGTCCTTGGGGAGCTCAGCTGCTTTGGTGCTGGGAGCCCAGGACTGGGGACAGACTGACACCACTGAGGGACTGGGGACAGACTCTGGGCTGGGAAAAGCCCTGTGTGGGTGTGAGTGCTGTGTCTGAGCATGCCAGGCACAGAACCAGCTCTCCATGGGCCCCCCAGCAGGGTGGGACAGCCCTGGCTGAGCCTGGAACAGAAGCTGGAACAGCCCCACCAGGCTGCAGGGTCACAGAGCTGGAACAGCCCCACCAGGCTCCAGAACCATGGAGCTGGAACAGCCCCACCAGGCTGCAGGGCCATGGAGCTGGAACAGCCCCACCAGGCTGCAGGGTCTCACGGAGCTGGAACAGCCCCACCAGGCTGCAGGGCCATGGAGCTGGAACAGCCCCACCAGGCTCCAGAACCATGGAGCTGGAACAGCCCCACCAGGCTCCAGAACCATGGAGCTGGAACAGCCCCACCAGGCTGCAGGGCCACAGAGCTGGAACAGCCCCACCAGGCTGCAGGGCCATGGAGCTGGAACAGCCCCACCAGGCTGCAGGGTCTCATGGAGCTGGAACAGCCCCACCAGGCTGCAGGGCCATGGAGCTGGAACAGCCCCACCAGGCTGCAGGGTCACAGAGCTGGAACAGCCCCACCAGGCTGCAGGGCCATGGAGCTGGAACAGCCCCACCAGGCTGCAGGGTCACAGAGCTGGAACAGCTCCACCAGGCTGCAGGGCCATGGAGCTGGAACAGCCCCACCAGGCTGCAGGGCCATGGAGCTGGAACAGCCCCAGCCAGGCTGCAGGGCCATGGAGCTGGAACAGCCCCACCAGGCTGCAGGGTCTCATGGAGCTGGAACAGCCCCACCAGGCTGCAGGGCCATGGAGCTGGAACAGCCCCAGCCAGGCTGCAGGGCCATGGAGCTGGAACAGCCCCACCAGGCTGCAGGGTCTCATGGAGCTGGAACAGCCCCACCAGGCTGCAGGGTCACAGAGCTGGAACAGCCCCACCAGGCTGCAGGGCCATGGAGCTGGAACAGCCCCAGCCAGGCTGCAGGGCCATGGAGCTGGAACAGCCCCTGCAGCTCCTGGGCTGCTGCTGCCACCCTCCCATGGCCAACCCCACACATTCCCTGCAAAGCTAAAGGGGGAGAGCAAACACGTTGTGCTCCCAGTAGCACTGCCCAAAGGTGCTGCATCTGGAGATAACATCAGCAGGGAGAGCCAGCCCAGCTCTCCCCACACAAACTATTTCCCAGAGGCAAATGGCAAAGGGAGACAGAGGGAGAAACAAGTACTGACAGTTTGCTGTAGAAGCTCAAAGAAAAAGTGGACAAAGCTAAAAGAACTCCAGCTCTTTGTCTGTATTTGATCCAGTTCAGAGCACCCACTGTTGCATACAGATTTACTTCCCATGGCTGGTGGAGCTGGATATGGTCATTTGGTAAGAAAAATGGGGTCTGAAATTTTGTGAACTCCATGCTCTTACCTTTTAGGAAAAGTCAGTCTGTAACACACCTAAAGTTTAAATCTGACGTAAAAAGTATGAGCTGCTGGATAATTCCTTCAAAGAGACAAATCCTGAAATAAAAGGTGAAGAATGCTTTCTGGTTTTAACACAGACAAAGTTTTTAATGGAAGGGCGCTGCTTTTGGCTCACAGAAACCAAGGAAAAGACTGGTCTGTGTCCCTACCCAAAGAATCCCACATTACAGGCACTGATTCATCAGAGGGTACTGGAACAATATAATAGTATTAAAATACCACCATGCACATATTTTAATGTAAAACAAATAGTCCAAGCACCTGCTATCAGAGTTCAACAGAACCACCAAATCACCACTGCAGGGTTTGCTTTTGCTGAGGCCAGACAGTTCAAGTCCCATGCAGCCTCATTTGTACAGGCTGTGGAGCCAATTCAGCCTTGCTGAATTTGCAGCACACGGCCCTGAAAGCCCAAAGAGGAGGATGGATTTGTGTGCAAGGACAGAAGCAACAAAAGGGGTTGTGAGCCACAGGTGGAGAGGACGGGTTAGAGGAGGCAGGGCTGGAGGGGACAGCTGAACTGCAGAGGGCAGGGGACACAAATGAGGCAGATGTGCCAGAGAGATTCCAGCAGAGAGTTTGGAAGCTCTGGCACCTCTGACAAGAGCAGAGAGAAAGGGAGAGAGAGCCAGTAAACCTTAGGAAAATACAGAAACAATAAATGGGAGAGAGAACAATAAAGCAGAACTTTCTCACCCATGTGCTCCTTCCCATCCCCTTCCAGGTGTTTTTGGACCTCTAGGAAGGACCCCTAGCACTGGGGCTCAGCTGGTGTTGCTCAAACTTCTGTTCAAAAGCCCTTTTAACCCTGAGTGCCTTTGGCCAGGCTTGGCTGAGAGCTGCAGAGCAGGGCCTGGCTGGGGCTGGGGCAGGAGCCCAGCCCAGGGCATGAGGCCACCCCGAGGAGCCCCCATCCCTTCTCGAGGAGCCTCCATCCTTCCTGAGGAGCCCCGTCCCTTCCTGAGGAGCCCTGTCCCTTCCCAAGGAGCCCCATCCCTTCCCAAGGAGCTCCCATCCCTCAGACCCTGCTGGCTCTAGATGGGATGGTAATGAAATAACCAAAAGGCAATTTAGGCTCCTTAGCTACACTTCAGGGCAAAGCCCTGCCTGGGTAGGTGGCACATGATGTGTTTTGTGTTCATGTTCCAAGCCAATTTGGCGGATCCCCGTGGCAGATTGGAAATACTTTGTTGCAAGTTTGAACATCTTACCAGGAGGTAAGGCCTTCTACAAGAGCAGTGATTGAATTAGGGTTGAGAAATGTATCCCTGGCTAGTTTCAATTTCAAAAAAGAGAGCTTTTAAAAAGGTACAAATGAGGCTAAAGGAATTTATGTTATTTTTCCGGTTTCTGTGCTATAACTCCTTTTCCATCTCCTCATCTATCTTCCAAGTGTCCTGCCTTATGAATGAGTGAGCAATAAAAGAAGTATGCAGTGGCTGAGAGAGAAACTCAAGATAACAAGATAAAGCCAAAGCTTGAGCAGAAGTTAAGATGTAGATCAGAATATGGAATTTTCTCACATCTGAGTTTTAGGGCAGTCATTAGATCGTTTGCATGAGAAGCTGATTTAATATCAGTAGCACAAAATGTGACCTAGCATGTGCTGAGTTCACTTGTGTCAAAGGCTTGGACCTGTGCTTTTGGGGGTTGTGATCCTGTCTTCAGACCACATGTGCTCCTAGACTAAAATAAAAATAAAGCTATTTCATAGAACAAAAGAATTACAGAACCACGGAATGATTTGCATAGGAAGAGATCTTAAAGTTCATCTAATTCTGACCCTCATTCCACGGGCAGGAACCTTCCTCTGGGTCAGTGCTCTGTCTGTCCTTGCCACCCCCAGCTCACAGTGAGGATTTAGGCCTGAGGTCCCCACATATGTACAGCCTCAGAGCTGGACCTGGCTCCTTCAGTGCAGGCTGCTGTTTTCTGCTGAAAATGGCCAGTGACAGTGTCTGCTGTTTCCAAACACCCCAAGCTGAAGGGAGAAGCTGTAACAAAGGGTTAATTCCAATTTCCATATCACTGACTGGCTGCCCAGGTTTGGAGCTGCATGGATCAGCTGGGTTTTCTCAGGGGAAAAATGATGTGACCACTCCCTGAGCCCTGATAATCCCTCTGCCTGGGCTTTCCAGTGCTGGGCTCTGCCAGGTTAGGCAGAGTTTCATCATCAAAATTATTGTGGCCTCTTTCAAGTAAAAGACAGTAGGAAATTAATTGCTGGAATTAGGTGTGTGTGCTTGCGTTATCCCAACGTCACTGCTGCTTGGGGTCAGCTGCAGGGCCCAGGACTCAGAGCAGGGACTAAGCTGGACTCCAGTTTTATTTGGCAAAGACTGGGCTGGTAAACAGCAGGAGAAGATACAGGGACAGAGTTTCAGGGGATGTGAAGGCAGAAGGGAAGATGAGGCTTGCTAACTTCAAAAAGAAAGTGTTGGGCACTGGGCAATCCTGTTGAAGAAAAGCTGTGCCTGAGGAGGGTCCCATTCCAGCTTTGGTCCCTTGGCTGTGGAGTTAGGCACAGTTATCCTTCCTGCTGAACTCAAAGTGCAGAAGGGGAATCAGCTCTGCAGGCTGATGGGTCATACTGATGAGCATTTGACCCAGTATGACTGGGTCATACTGATGAGCATTTGCTGCCTGGGACAGCAGCGTGCCCTGTGTGTGGTGGCAGCTCCCAGTGCAGAGCAAACCCATCCCTGAGTGTCACCCAGCCAGTGTCCCTCTGACAGCCCTGCTATTAATGCATCCTTCTTTGTTCTTCTAACCACAGATCCTGGAGGAAAACATGAAGTTAGAGTGCAAGTGCCACGGGGTCTCGGGGTCCTGCACCACTAAAACCTGCTGGACAACGCTGCCCAAGTTCCGGGAGCTGGGCTACATCCTCAAGGACAAGTACAACGAGGCCGTGCAGGTGGAGCCTGTCAGGGCCAGCCGCAACAAGCGCCCCACCTTCCTCAAGATCAAGAAGCCCCTTTCGTACCGCAAGCCCATGGACACAGACCTGGTGTACATCGAGAAATCCCCCAACTACTGCGAGGAGGACCCGGTGACGGGCAGCGTGGGCACGCAGGGCCGCATGTGCAACAAGACGGCGCAGCAGTCCAACGGCTGCGACCTCATGTGCTGCGGCCGCGGCTACAACACCCACCAGTACTCCAGGGTGTGGCAGTGCAACTGCAAGTTCCACTGGTGCTGCTACGTGAAATGCAACACGTGCAGCGAGAGGACAGAGGTGTACACCTGTAAGTGAGCCTGCCCCGGCCGCTCCCGGCCTGGATACATTTGCACATGCACTCCACGGAGCTGAGCGGAACTGCGGCAAGAGCTGCTCTCCCCAGGAGATGCTCACCAACGGAGCCCTCTCTTCTCTCCTCACCTTTCGTTGCTTATGTGGATACACATTTCAGACTCTTATAAAGTCAGCCAAGAAACAAAAACAAGCAGACCCCTCCTCGGGCCACCAGAGACATGAAAGAGAGAGGAAAGGATCGCCTCAGTGAGCCTGCCCCTCAGGAGGAGGGAGCGCTGGCTGCCTTGCGGAAAGAACCGGCCAGGGAGGCATCTCTGGGGCTGGCAACAACTCTCGGTTTGGGAAAGGGGTGCTCAAACACCTCTGTGTACGAGGAGCAGGGAGGGGTAGGGGAGAAATCCCTAGAGAAGGGCTTTGCACAGGATGGGATGGACAGAGCCTCCCCGTGAATTGCCTGTGGGAGTGTGTGGATAACACAGATTTAGGCTCCCACATTCGTGAAAAGCTTCTACTGGTCTTGCCCATATTTCCACGTCACAGCACTTGCTGCAGCAAGAAGAACTGTGGAAGGGTTCTGTAGACACTGCTTTATCTGCCTTTCTCGTGTGTGTGTGTGAGCTGCAGATTTTAGCACAGGGATTTGGGACACTTGGGCATAATAATAACAATATTTAACAATTTATTCAGATAAAACTAATATTAATTTATTTAATTAAAAGAAGAACTTTACCAACCTTTCTGGAACTATTCTGCAATTAAAGTAGATAGCTGGCTTTCTTTGTGGAATAATTTTGTAGGATCAGCAAGGAAACACTGGAGCTGTACATATTATTCTTGACTAGGATATTTCTATTAGATGGACTTGCAGGATATGTTCTACAGTACTGGATGTTTAAGGACAAAAGCTGGAGTCTTTATATATATGTACATACACAAACACACTGTATTTGGGGGTTTTTGTTTGTTTGTTTCCTCCTGTTTGCTGCTAGTTGTCTGGAACAAAAGTGGAGTGGTAGGGGTTACAGATCTTTACCAGTTTTGCATTTTGTTTTTTTTTTTTTTTCTTCAATTAAAGAAAGAAACATTAATAAAATCCTGTTTGGAATATGTCTAAAAATAAGAAAATCCAGACAAAATTCCATCTTTTGGAAAAATCAACCATAGGATAAGAGAGTATATTTTGTAAGAGACTATTTTTATATAAATATTTTATTTATACTACGTCTGCTTGTTCAACCTGTACTTTTTCTCAAAACAGGCATACAATTTGTAATTCTTAGGCTATTTAACAGAGAAAGGGTAATTAGTTTGTGAACACAACAGCAGCAAGCTGGATGCATTCAGCTGCAATTGGTGGATGTGTCAGAAAGCAGGATGAACTTTCTCTCCTGGCTCTTTTCCTGCAGCTCAGTTTGCAGAATATGCAAAACAAGAACAGGGTATGTAGCATCAATTTTGTCACATGGCTTGAATTCATGATTGGTATTAACTGGATGCTCATTTATCCCATTCAAGAAAAAAAAATCCGAATTAGCTTCCCACATGCATCAGTCATTAAACTGTGGCGTTATGACTCGCAAATGTGCTGTGTGTGCTGTCAGTTAAACCTCTGCTTTGTGCTGCTGTCAAAGCTGATTCCCATCAGGGCAAGACTGTAGACTGGGACTGTAATAACTTGCATGACACACATCGTCTGATTCTCATAGATAGGATACAAAGCTTACTTTTTGTCCAGCTCCTTTTGGCATTTACATTATTCTTTCCCCCCCTCCGAAGGCCAGAGCCCAAAAATACAGAAAAACATTCAGACGAGTTTAAAGAGGCAAATTTAAAGACTACTCACTTGTTTTCCAGAGCCCAACTAAGCTGTTTTGCATTCCCTTTGGGGTATTTCCTTTTTATCACTGCTGATTTCTTCAGACATTGGAGTAGTAAATATTTCTCTGCATTTAGAATTGTTCTGTTCCTACTGCTTAACTCATTTGTGGCTGATAAAAAACCATGTCTAATTCTAACGTTGTTTTTCACTGGGTAAGAAACGTGGCCCAGCATTACAGATGATATTGCACATTGTCTGGGACAGATCAGGTTCTCTGCTCCTTCCAGACTGCAGGATCTCCCCAGTTAATGAGGCATCAGTGATGGGAATGTGTCACTGACTCCCTGCACAGCAGCAAGTGCCACCAGGGCTAGGTGAGACACCTCTGTCCTGTGTGCACTGGTCCTTCTCAGGCAAAACTCCCACCCAACACTGTGAAAACAGAGAATTTCTGAGAAGGGAAATAGAAGCATCACAAAAGATGCTGCAAAGTTTGACAACCTACCTGTTAGCACTTGGGTTTTAACTCATTCCTTGTATATATATTATTTAAGAACACAAGCCCATGGAGTACCTAATCCTAGCAATGTATATCAGGGGTTAATGCACAGTTTCTTTGCAGACCTGCCACTTAACATGAAATAGAATTTTTATTCAATTCAGGCACCAGAATGGGGTATCAAAATAAAGTTATTAATGTAATTTACTTCCAATCTTATGACTTGTCAATTCTCATTGGGTTATTGCTCTTAGTCCTCCTCAATTCCACACAACTAGATTTAAAATGCAGCCACATACCATAGGGATGTTCATTATAACTCTGTATTATAGTAAATAATTCAGATCTAACATTTAATATTGGAATCTCCCCTCCAGTTTGTAGTGGGCTTTGATTTAGTGAATACCATATCATAGTAAAATTGTGTTTTCCTCACTAATTAGAGTTACTTTACAAGTTATTACTTTTGCAGCATGTTTTTACCGTAGAAAAGTAATGTGCAAAACTCCTGCTTCCTGTAAAATTCCATATGCAGTGATGTGCCATGTACAGCTAGTGGAATAATTATTGAAGGACAAATATCTTTAAACAGTTTTACTCACAATAATAAAAAAACTGGATGCACAAGGAATTCAGTTTGGTACAAATTTTCCCTATATTTTACAGTATTGCTGATAAGAAAATGAAGAGAAGAAAAGGAAAAAAAAGCTGTCAATTTGTTCAATAACTGGAATGGCAGTTTGGGAACCATGAATTAAAGAGCAAGGAAAACCAAATGCTGCATTCAACTAGAAAGTATTTAGAAATTTGGCTGTGCCACCTTAGACAGGAGAAATCGGGCCCATCAGGATGTGCAATGAATGTGGAGTTAATTGGTCATTGGCTAAATGGGCTTGAATGGCCCGGAGAATAAACAGGAGAAGGGGGAAGATTTACGGGTTTGTGGATATTCCTCCTCCCACAACAGCTCGGTCTTTGTGCTCCGGGATAGAGGAGCTCTGTTTTTACGTGGGGAGGGAGCTCACAAAGGCACTGAAATGCACACAAGTGCAGGACAATGCAGCCCTCAAAGGAAAATCCATCTTTTCATGTGTGCTGCCAGGGCAGTGCTGGGCACAGGCACAGCCTGGTTGGGGCAGGGGAAACACAGCCCAGGAGCAGGGTCAGGGACAGCAGTGGGAAGCAGAAGGGGAAAAGCCTGGCTGCAAGTCAGGAACCTGTTAATTGTGGAATCTCCCTTCCCCATCCCATAGTGAAACCCCAGCTTGTGGAAATGAAGATGCTCTGCCTCAGGATTCCCAAGTAAGTTTTAAGGATTTTACCTCTCAGCCTTTCTAAAAGGACAATTAACCTGAATTCACTCAGCTTGACACTAGAAGCACTTACATAAAATGAATCAGTCCTTGATTAAGTTTTCTTTGCCACGTATGCCCAAAGCTAATGGAGATATGTTTTTCAACAGTGATAATTAAACTGAAAACATCCTTAAAATATGCTCTTAAGTGGTTTGTTAAAGTTACTGTAAGGGGACACAGTAACTTAGAAAAGGCAAATAATGGCTACTAACCATATTGCACAAGGCTCTCAACTCTCCTGTGGATTACAAAACTCTTTTTAACTGACCACACTTCAAAATCAATTTGTTAAACAGAGAAACATCACAGACTGCAGTTAGGACGCACAAATTCAAACTAGGATGCTGTATAACTATTTCTGACAATATTTTCACATTTGTCATTATAATAGACGAGGAAATATGCAATGTGAATATTAACCAATACTGCCCCTTGTCCCCAACCTGTAATCAAAGGAGTCCACGGAGCAAGAAGGTCTCAAGTCTGAGCTGCAGGGTGGCTGGAAAACTGGATGTGAGTCAGCCCAGCCTGGCAGCCAGGGGGGACATCCCTGTTCTGGGGGGCACCAGGCCCAGCATGGCCCGTTGGGCCAGGGGGGGATTGTCCCTCTCTGCTCTGCACTGGGGCGGCCTCACCTCAAATATTGTCTGAAGTTTTGGTCACTGCAATGTAAAAAAGAGTGTTCAAAGGAGGGACACAGGATGGGCAAGGGTCTGGAGGGGCCCTACAAAGAGTGGCTGAGGGTGCTTGGTTTGCTCAGCTGGAGAAGGGAAGATTGAGGTCAGAGCTCCAGGGGCTGCAGCTCCTCCCGAGGGGCAGCTCCAACCTCTGCTCCCTGGGACAGGGACAGCACCCAGGGAACAGCTGGAGCTGGGCCAGGGCAGGGTTAGGGTGGACATCAGGGAAAGGTTCTTCCCCCAGAGGGTGCTGGGGCACTGAACAGACTCCCCTGGGTTTGGTCGTGTCCCCAAGGCTGCCAGAGCTCCAGGAGCATTTGGACAACACTCTCAGGGATAGCTGGGGTGGGATTGTTGGGGTGTCTGTACAGGGCCAGGGGCTGGACTCGATGACCCTTGCAGGTCCCTTCCAATTTAGGATGTTCCATGATTCTAACTAGGAGACAGAAAAAGACATTTGTAAGATAAAGAAACTAAAGGCCTGTAACAGACAGGGTGCTCTCCAGAAATGCTTTGGAGTACAGAGGAAAAGCCTCAGAAGGAAAAGCCCTGGACAAATCAATGCATGGAAGGCACAGCCCTGAGTCCAGCAGAGAACAGAACGGGCTCAGCAGCATGGGCAGATTGCAGCAAAGCTGAGCCTGCCTGCTGCTGCACAGCCCATAGAGCAATTTCATTCACATCAAGCCAAATCCATAGTATCTGTTCCCTGGAACCAGCAAGAAACCTCTTTTGTGAGTTGTTTCTCACACAAAAGTTTTTACCCAGCAACTTTTCTTGTACACATGGAAATATGCACTATGGACATCACATACAGTGTATTTTTTAGCATAAAATCCCACAGAGGATGTTAAATACTCATCACCTTGAGAAAGAAGTCAATGGAGAAAGACACAGAACCAATAAAGGCAGACATGTTAGACCATAATGTCATCACACAGGACTAGAAGATAGGTCAGTTATTAAAAAAAAAAAAGTATTTTCTACATATTAAAAAAACCTCAGGATAATTCCTCTTGGCCTTCTCTAATGCTGTGATGTCAAGTTGTACAAAAGTTCTGAGCTGAGCCTGGTCCCAGCCAGCCACTATTGTCCCTACAAACAGACAGGAAATCAGGAGACAGAGCCTGAGAGGGTTGGCCAGTGGGCACAAAGGCAGCCTGTGAGAGAAATAGGACTATGGCCCAGATTTCTCAGCTTCTGCCATCCCTTTTGTAAAGGAACTTGAGCAATGACTGATTTGTCTCCTTGTATAAAATACATATCCAGATTTGAGGGTTTGGGAAATGCATTCACTCGTGCAGTGATTTCCCTGTGTGTTCTGGGTAGCTGAAGAGAGGAGACTCCTTCCCAGGCTCATTAAATGCTGAGCACACAGTAATTAATATAACCTCCACATTAAGTATGAGTCATGCACCAGGGAAATGGAAGGAAGCTGCTCTCATGTTTTGTCTCCTTGAGTCAAGTGATCAGCAAAGCTGGGAGATAGCAAAGGAGATGGCAGAGCAGGCTTTTTGAGGGAGGGCATGTGGACAGCAGCTCCACAGAGGGAACAAACAGCCTCTGGCAAGCTGAAACTCAGCTCAAAGTCTCCACAAAGCAGGGGCACGTTGCTCTGATGCCTCAGCACTGGAGGCATAGAAAAAGTTAGGGAATATTCTACTGGAAAGGGTTTAATAGGACGGCGTTAAAGCACATGGTGTTTGCTGCCAC